AACCAAATTCAAAATGGGTTAAAACTATATAAAATTATATTTATCTTGTTTTCTTTCAATTGGGTATAACTTAATACGTTCTTATCCAAAATAACTTTTCTCGAGTCATAGACTTCTAATTAATTACGACCTTCGAAATGAGTCTAATATTGATATACATATCATTACTTTATCAAAATCCAATTATTTGACCCCAAATATATAATATATTAATATTTATTTCATCTTAATCCCTCACTTTCAAAATAATATAATAATTTATTTATTTTCTAAAAAAAAATTTCGGAATGTTACATGTGCACGTAGAGATGCATTCTTTGCTGTTAATGCCTTTAAGCTCTCCTTCCTTTCTTATATGTCTTTTTCAGTTGATATTTTCTTTCGCAAGCGACCGCCCTGTATGAGAGAGATGCTAGATTGTACTCTTGCTGAAGTTTTCTCTTGTTGCCTTATAGGATTAGCATCACTGTCCACCAGACAATCGCTATACTCTCTGGCTTCAACTTCTAATGCTTTCATTTTTTCTAGTTTTTTCTCTGTTTGACTCAATTTTCCAAATCTTAAGGATTTCTCAACTCCAATATCTTATGGTTTATTTGCTCTATGATGGAAATCGGGTCAACAAATTCCTGTCACATAATCAGGATTTTCACCTCCTAAACTCATTAGTTTTGATGCTCAAACTGGAGCAAGAGAAGAAATGTTTATTTGGGAATGAGATATTTGAATTTTTATACTTCACTCTTCTTAGGTGGGAATACTTAAAAAATTTTCTCCAAGCTTTGAGATAATTCAGTCATTTCTAATAAATGATGACGGCTTTTTATTTTTTTGTAACTGATTCTGTTAGAGTATCACATTTTATTCATTAACTTATGTGTCTTAGTAATGGCTCTTAACTAGCTTGGATAGGAAAAGGGTTTGCCCCCCTTTCTTCTCCTTGTATATCGTTTTAGCTTTGTAGGTGAAGGAACATGTTTGTGGACAGTGGCGGAGCCAACCCCTGAGGAGGGAACGAGGCCGAGCATACTAACTCCGTCGAAACCTATAGTTGGACTCGTCATCAGGAGCCAGCCACCATGGACAAAGCTTCAACTAGAAAGTTGAAATGTACGTACAGACGAGGATGGAATGATTTGGAAGATGAACAAAAGTGGATTTGGACCAAATTTTTAAAGTTGCAAGCCGTTTCTTTTGGGCCTCTTGTAAAAATATAGGCCCAATTGCTCAATCCAATGGATTGAAGATGCAGAGACTGCTTGCTAGTTTTATTCACTTCTAGCTCACACGCGCACACACTTCAAGGACAAAATGAGCTACCATCAATGTTGAGCTACTGCCGCACTGCACCACATCGCCACCAGTGCATTGCCTCCGATGACTAACTCCACTTGTGAGTCGTGACAGCATAACGCGAACAGTGAGCCTTCTGCCTCTCTTCATTTTTCTTTTTCTTTTTTCACTTTTGTTCTTTTTTTTTTATTGTATTATTTATGAAATGAGTTATCAGTTAAATTAATCAGTTGTGATTTATAAGTTTTATTATTTACTGTGACAATGTATGATTTTTGTGACTTGAGAGTTGAGAGTCTGCAGTTAGTGTTAGTATTTATGAAAATTGAGGATTTTGTGAATTTGAGAATATGTGATGCCATATATGTGGACTGTGGAATGTGATTTGTGATATATGAAATTAGAATGGAAACTTGATGATAGTTTAGTGATTTAATCTGTGATTTACGTTTAATCTTTGATAAGTGTGTTTTCGCACACTTATTTAATATCTAAATATGCTCATAATTAATTAAATGAATGAAATTCTACTCACAATTAGGTGACATTTGCTTTTGTAGGTAGAAATCACTCAAAGAAAGATAACAAGGCAAAAGAGAGTGAAAAGGGACCAAAAGCGTACAAAATTTTTGAAGTTGTGGACAAAAGGAGCAAGTCAAAAAGTTCAAGGACCTAGACCTACGATTTATGGAGCGAAAATTGATACAAAAGTTAAAATTTGAGGAGTGAAATTATGTAGGGACTAAGCTGCAAATGACACCAAAATCAACTTTCCTTGGCTTTGGACGGAGCCTAGGCGCCACTTTAGCTTCAAAAACAGCATGGGGACCATTTTGGTGACTTTTCAAAACTCCAACGACTTTGGCTACAATTTTCCCGGTTTTATAATTTAAACCAGTAGCTGGCGGCTGCACTCTGTTTTCTTTCTTGCTATGTTCCGTCCACTTTCTCTTTTTTTTTTTTTTTTTTTTTTTTTTTTTTTTTTTTTTTTTTTTTTTTTTTTTTTTTTTTTTTTTTTTTTTTTGAAAAAAAAAAAAAAAGATTTTGTTTATTTTGTTATTTTGTTTAGTTTAGTTTTTTTTCTTTCTTTTTGCTTCCTTGATTATTTATGCCCATAACTCGATTCTCTAACCAAGTGGAGCAAATCAAGAGCATAACCAGGGTAAATCAAAGAAAAGGTAGAGAAGAATTAGGGAACTCAAGATTCAAGCCAAAAATCCGAAAAAAAAGGGTTTTATCTAATCTTGTATTTTCTATCATTTGTAATGTATTGGATTAAATATTCTTCTTTTTATCATTTTATATTTTATGGGCTAATTTATTGTATTGAGATTTATGGTATTAGCTTAATCTAACTTTTAATTAGTTTTAATATTCGGTCTTTAATGTTAAGTTGCTAGTTTTCATGTGTTTTTACTATTGTATTTATCGCATTTTCATTTATGTGGTCAGTGCATGATTACGTTTAGTGATTTGTACAATGTTCTAGAGAAGATTTGCATTTTAAACTAAATAGTAGAAACTTTAAGTTTGTGTAGAGGATGGAGATATACCTCTAACCTTATGCGGCCCATTAAGTTACTTTTGCAACTATTTAATGCGATTGTTTAGTTTGAATCGACATAAAGATATAGTTGGTTAAACCAATTAATTAAAGTTAATTTCGCTCGAGAGAAGTAATTAACTATAATTGAAAAATTAGGTCTAATATTGTAAATTAGTAATTTGTTAATTGGCTATTAGTGAAATTAATTAGGCGACGGTTAAACGAAATCATGAATCTCAACCACATTTGCTTCTGAAATTTCCCAGATTTATATATTTTCTTATTTTGTAGATTTTTAGTTCTTTTCCAAAATCATAATTTTATTGTGTGTTTATTTTTAAGATTAATTAAGGTTGTGTAATTGAAAGTATACATTTCGCAAGTACACGGATCGCGTTCAAGTAATAAAGTAGACTTTTGAGTCCGAGTTAGGCGACAGTTAAGCGAAATCATGAATCTCAACCACATTTGCTTTCGAAGTTTTCAAGATTTTTATATTTTCTTATTTTGTAGATTTGTAGATCTTTTCTAAAATCATAATTTTATCGTGTGTTTATCTTTATTGTTAGAATTCAATTAATTAAGGTTGTGTAATTAAAAGTATACATTTCTTGAGGGATCGATAATCCAGACTCAAAAAGTCCACTTTATTATTTGAACGCGACCTGTGCACTTGTGATTTGCACTTCCTTGACGAACAATCTTCGTACGAATTTTTGAAAACATCGAAAATGAGACAATCTGACAACACTTTCAAGATATGAGACTCCTGAGAATGCAATTGCCTGAGCTTACAGTTACAGAGTGGGGTATTATGTAATTTTTCTTATAATATCGGGTTGTATTGGATTATATTTTTCATATTTATGTGATACTAAAATTTTTAGTAATCTTATATATTAATTGAAGAATTTTAATATTACTTAATTAAATATTAATAAACGATCTCGTTATTGTGACGGTTGACTGTCGCCCTAGCTAGCTCCAATTCCTCAATCCGCCAGTGCTCATGGAAGATACTTCTTGATTCAATACATATATATTTCAAAAATCACTATTTCAAAATTTATTAACCCAAAAGTGAGGCTCAAACAAATTCGGAACAAAAGAGTCTGGAGCCAACCCAACTAAACCATGACCATGCTGGCCAAATGTGTAGAGAACTTAATAAATAGCCTTTTATTTTCGTCCACGTCCATCTATCTGACTATCCATTTTCCGAACAACGAAAGAGTCGAATCAATGCACAAGTACATGTCTTGTCAGATGGAAAATAAGTTACTGATTGAATTTATAAGCAAGCAGCATTTGCCGTTCATATTGGAATTGGATAAAGCAAGATGCATCATTCACGTTCTTCACTGCACCACCCAAACTTTGTCCAACCCAAACCCTAATCATCTTTTTTTATGTTGGGAAATGGGCTCCCATATTTCAAAGCGAACCCTACAATCAATTCTATTCTAAGTTGATGAAAATTATGATTAATTAAAATCCAGTGCAGTATTTCAGCTTGAATTTTAATGGTAACATAAGCGATTATCGAAAATAATGTGAAAAGAAAAGATTAAATGAAAAAGTTGACTATATTTTAAATCAACAAATGATATAGCGTCATGTGAACATTAAGTAATCCTTATGTAAACCTTGATATACATACAGCAATGTCATTTCAACTTTCACCAGACAAGTTCCTAAATCTGTAACAAGCACTGTTGAGTCAAGATAAAACGAACTGCATTTCTTTAACTTTTACATCATAGGTACCAAAGGAGATCGACATTATATATTGCATTCATATCGAAGAGATGCAACAAAGTGACCGAATCATTGTGAAATGTCTTAATCAAATGTCTAATGGCGTTATCAAAGTCGATGATCATAAACTACGTCTTCCGTCAAAATATCAAATGAAACTATCTAGGCAATTGCGTAAAATGCAGATTATGGTCGTTCTTAACCAAGACTCAAGTTAAGTTCCATCACATTCGGTCCAACAAGACACCTTCTAAATCTGTAAAACAAAAATTCAGCATTATTTAAGAGTACTTTTTAACTTTTTATACTTCCCGATGGTCCACCAGCCCACCCGCCTCCTAAATCTTTATTTATTTTCTTTTACTTTACCGCATATTATAAAAGGGAAGGATATTGGAATGAATGAATAACAGAAAACATACATAAGTTGATTGAAATTTTAGAAAGATGAAATTGTTTGAAAATTACACCAAAATTCCAACAGAAATAAAGTACAAAACTAAGATCAAGACTAGTGATTAACAAGAAGTTTAGCAACTAACATGGACAGAACTGAACTAAGAATCCATCCATAAGCTGTAAGATGGTGGAGGTTGTCTAGCTCTAGCAGCATGATCAGAAGGTTTGTAACTGTACTCTGTCTGCGCCGGCGACTGAGAAACAGAATCATCCTCCAATTCCATTGGTAGTCTGTGGAATGATGGGGTATTAAACGTGGCACAAATCAGATAAATCGATCCAGCCGAGACGAGTGGCCCAACCACAAGACCACCCACAACCTGTCCCTGTGATCCGGCTAAGGATATTGCGAACCCACTAGCCAAATTATCAGAAATGTTAATAGTTGCAGAAAGTGATATGATATCGAAACGTCCATGGAATGTAACTGCGGTAGAAGGTTGCTTGAAAGTCACATTCGAGACAGCTCCATTACCATTGAGTACACAGAGGCCCATTTTGCGCTTCCGACAGAAGGTGGTGATGGTTTCAATAACATCGACGCCGGGAGGGAGTTCGAGGATATAAGGACTCATTGATGGCTCCGCGTTCTGGGTTATGATAACTGTTGGTTTGGGTTTGTTCTTGGAGCCAGGTGGGCGGCCTCGAGGGCGGCGGACAATTTCAATTGTGGCGTCATCGTTCGGTGACGGGTTGGTACTGGTATTGGTATCGGTATAGGTATAGGTGAGAGGCGTAGGGTGAGTTGGGCTGTGTTGTACTGGATGAAGATGATTGTGGTGGAATTTTTGGGTTTGATGGTACTTGGAAATCATCATGTTGTTTATATTGTTGGAATGATCTTGATTTTCTTCTGCGTATTCCCTTTTCATTTTTCTTGACCAAACCCTCTTCTATATATGCATTTGGATGGGATGGATGGATGGATGGAGATAGAGAGAGAGAGGAATTAGGAAGGGGGGAAGATCATTCTTGTAGGATTAGGAACGTGAGTGAACTTGGAAACCAAGTGAATACTAGAAGACAGAGACTGGAGGCGCCGCTAATCAAGGCTACACTAGGCTCCACTTTGACACTTGATTAAAAAAAATGAAAAAAAAAAGGACCACCAATAGTCTTGTTTGGGGGGTGGGAAATTGTTGGGTAGATCCTTAACTTTTGAAAAAAAAAATGATCTATAATATACACTGGGTCTTGCTCTTAATTGACATGGTAAATTGTTCTTCGAACTTGATTTCAATTCTTGCACTACTATTACCAATCTTGCATAGTTACAGCAATGGAGATTCTTATGGATAGAATTGGTTTAAAATATAGACGGTAAATTGATATGTAAAAAGCATGTGATGTAATTTCCTGTTACATGAGAGTTATGGGAAAGAAGGAGATGGTGAGTGCTAATTGTCGATGAATGGTGGCCAGTGGTGCAACGGATGACAATGGTAATACTGATAATGGAAAAGTTGAAGTAAATTTTTTTTCTTTTTTGTTATTTTACTTTTTGAATTTTGTTTTTCTTTTAAATTTTAGATTGGATACCAATTCTTCCACCTAATCTGTTTGTCCAAGAAAAGCACAGAGTAATGAACAAATTTGAAGTCGTTCTAGAGAAGCCTAATCACCTACATAATTACGGTTATTTTAGCAGTAGTGCCAAGATTTGAGCATTGGAATATATTTGTACTTTTTGCAAAGATTAGGAATGTACGAGGGATGTAAGCTGTTCGATGGACTAACGGTCCAACAATTTTGAAATATTAACCACTAACTTACTCTTCCAAAGTTGAAGATTATGTCGCAATTCAATCAAAAAATGAGGACCAACAATGCAATTGTCCTTCGGTTTGCTTGGTCTAACCTTTCACCGCCTTACAATTGGGTGGGGTGCCGACAAGAGCAATTATTGTCAATCCATTTGGTCGGGCAAATTCATCTTATTGTCAAAGAGCATGTTTGTGCAATTTTAAAAGTAGCTGTAAGACGGCTCTTTTGCCAGAAAAAGTTATAGGTTTTCAATTTGAATCTGAATCTGAATTTTTATGCGTCGAGACAATATGGACACAACAACTATCGAACAACTTACACTGTCGTGTAACATTTTTAGCGTTTACATTAATTGTTTAAACTCTTATTTTAATTTTAAAAAAAATACAATAAAAAATAAAAACTTCATTTTTAAAGTTGACCATATCCCTTCCTTAAATAAGCAATCGTTGACAATTTCTATTTCATTTTTTTTTCTAATTTAATTAATTAAAGCCTTCATCTTCAAAGTCATAGGCATAGCCCACTTTTTGTCGAATAAAATCAATAACTTGGATCACTGCCTTTGATTTTCTAAAATAGGCATTTTCTATTTTTAGTGTCTATTTCATTCAATCCTGCAACTATTGTAGGAACTAGAAGTCTTGATTTTGAACGATTTCCATTCAATAGAGGCCTACTTGCACCAAAAACAAAATTTGAATGTTGACTCAACTGATACAAGTGGAAAAGTTCGGGGATTTCCGGATGAAAAATTCCCTTTCATTGTATGAACATTCCACTTATATATCTTTTCTTAAGTTTATTTCATTGAGAAAATTTAATAATGTTTATTTAAATTTTTAAGTAGTATATTTCGATTTTCAGTTTATCATTTTTTATATGAAAAATTATTTATTCAGTTACTTCATATTAATTCCAATAATGTGTATTAGTCTTTTTTTTTGCCACTAAAATGAATAACTTCATAAACTAAAAAATGCAATTAGTCAATTTAATTCACATTAAATAACTATGTATAAAATTATTAATTTGAATTTGAGTTAAGTTTGACATTTAACACTTATCCAATCCATAACAGTATAAGAAACTTGCCAAAAATGGAAATATCAACATATTATGTAACTTCAGTTTTTTTTAATTTAATTCATTCTATTTTTATTTTATTTTATTTATTTTCAAAAAGAAAAGTTCATCTTATATTTTGATACTACAAATAAAATCAAAATTTATCAGATTTCATGTTGAAGTGGATAAATTTTATATGCATTTATAGTTTTAAGTGAAACCTAAATTGAATCGCTAAATTTTATTTTGTCTCGATTGGAGGGTGAAAAAACTGAATGTCTCCCAGACTTTACACCGTGTGCAAAAAACTCAAACTTTATTAGTCCTTTACGTGTAAGTCGTGAGCACCACTAGTCCCAAAAAAGATTTCATTCAAAATTACTACATGAAAAGTAGAAAGATGACATAGCATTTCATATGACTTTAATGTGACACCTAATACACCAACAAGGACGAAATTGAACCATTTTTTTCCTTTATTTTTTCTTTTTTTTTCTTCTTTGAATCAAAGTACCATTTTAATACACTTCAAAGCATGCAGACACTTCAAAAAAAAAAAAAAAATAATAATAATAATAATAATAATAATAATAATAAATGATACAATTTTATATGTTCCTTTTAGGGACTAATAGGTTCATGACTTAAAGTTAAGGGACAAACTAAGTTCGATTTAATATTTGGGGACATTTTCGCACGTAGTGTAAGTCTGGGGACCATTTAGGTGTTTTACCTCTCGATTGGGTGACTAAACTTCAATTAGTTTCAGTTGAGCAATTGAATTTCCGTATAGTTTCATATTTCACTAGTTATAACTTGTCTTCCAAATTGATGAATAATAATCTTGTCTCTCTTATCGCTCATATATCTTCTATTTTATCATGAAGTGGTATGCCAACTTACTACTACCTTGTGTCACGAATTGTTTTGTTAAAAATACATGTTATTCAGGGTTTGTTTGACAGTGATTATCAGAATTGATTTTTTGACTGTTGAAGAGAAAAATCGATTCCACCCTTAAGAGAAGAAATAAAAAATAACGACTAGAATAGTAAAATAACGGTTAAAAATTAATTATTTTAGATGAAAAATCAATACCTAACATGCACTCAGTATAAAGACATTGTAATAACTTTTCTATGATTTTCATTTTAAGGTGTCATGTATTTGTGTGGTATAATCTGGATTTCATTTTGTATTAGGCTTATCAGTTGGTGTAGGAGCTTGGATTCTTGTAACGAACAACACATCAGATGGGAGTTTCTATTAGCAAATCGTTTCATTAAACATCCTGAGCATTTTCATCGGATTATTTTCACAAACGATCAGCTCAGCACTAAATCGCGCAAAGTAGCTCTTACGGAATTCACCTTCTTCTTACCTCCTATCATTTAGCCTTGTATCAGGGGTTGTCCCATTATACTACCTTGAAATGTCCCTAGAAAGGTTTGTTTCAACTATGGCCAGCTTTTGATTGACCCCATTGGTAGCTTGTTATACCATCGTTTGGCAGATCCATCCAACATCGGATGAAAACCTGGCACTTGAGTACAATACCTCCTTTTTCAGTTATATCTGCATTATATACTTGAACAAACGGCATAAAGGATCACTTTTGCCACTATACCTCTCCATGATTGGGCGAAAGTTATCCGAATTGGCTCCTTCTTGATCTCCCCAGAGAATGGTAGATACTCATCTTCATTTTTCTAGCTCGTATGACCTCATATTCCTCATATAGAGGAGCCTTATGCAAGGTGTTGATCAAGATCTCCACCCTCCGGCCTTCTTGGCAACTATGCTCCCTGTCATATGAAGTTACTTACTTTGTAAACCTTTCCTTGGCAGGCATGTTCATGTGTCGCCATTTATGTCGCCTCTCCGACGTACTGTCGTCATTTTTTGACACATACTAACTATAGTTCATTGTGGAAAGAACTGTTAGCGGGATCCATCTCATTTTCTCCAGACTCTTCATGCATATTGGCCTTTGTATTCTCAACATGTGCACGTAGAGATGCATTCTTTGCTGTTAATGCCTTTAAGCTCTCCTTCCTTTCTTATATGTCTTTTTCAGATGATATTTTCTTTCGCAAGCGACCGCCCTGTATGAGAGAGATGCTAGATTGTACTCTTGCTGAAGTTTTCTCTTGTTGCCTTATAGGATTAGCATCACTGTCCACCAGACAATCGCTATACTCTCTGGCTTCAACTTCTAATGCTTTCATTTTTTCTAGTTTTTTCTCTGTTTGACTCAATTTTCCAAATCTTAAGGATTTCTCAACTCCAATATCTTATGGTTTATTTGCTCTATGATGGAAATCGGGTCAACAAATTCCTGTCACATAATCAGGATTTTCACCTCCTAAACTCATTAGTTTTGATGCTCAAACTGGAGCAAGAGAAGAAATGTTTATTTGGGAATGAGATATTTGAATTTTTATACTTTACTCTTCTTAGGTGGGAATACTTAAAAAATTTTCTCCAAGCTTTGAGATAATTCAGTCATTTCTAATAAATGATGACGGCTTTTTATTATTTTGTAACTGATTCTGTTAGAGTATCACATTTTATTCATTAACTTATGTGTCTTAGTAATGGCTCTTAACTAGCTTGGATAGGAAAAGGGTTTGCCCTCCTTTCTTCTCCTTGTATATCGTTTTAGCTTTGTAGGTGAAGGAACATGTTTGTGGACAGTGGCGGAGCCAACCCCTGAGGAGGGAACGAGGCCGAGCATACTAACTCCGTCGAAACCTATAGTTCGACTCGTCATCAGGAGCCAGCCACCATGGACAAAGCTTCAACTAGAAAGTTGAAATGTACGTACAGACGAGGATGGAATGATTTGGAAGATGAACAAAAGTGGATTTGGACCAAATTTTTAAAGTTGCAAGCCGTTTCTTTTGGGCCTCTTGTAAAAATATAGGCCCAATTGCTCAATCCAATGGATTGAAGATGCACAGACTGCTTGCTAGTTTTATTCACTTCTAGCTCACACGCGCACACACTTCAAGGACAAAATGAGCTACCATCAATGTTGAGCTACTGCGGCACTGCACCACATCGCCACCAGTGCATTGCCTCCGATGACTAACTCCACTTGTGAGTCGTGACAGCATAACGCGAACAGTGAGCCTTCTGCCTCTCT